GTCCGCCCGCCGATGCGGGGGACACGGGTTCGTGCCCCGGTCCGGGAAGATCCCACATGCCGCGGAGCTGGTGGGCCCGTGAGCCATGGCCGCTGAGCCTGCGTGTCCGGAGCCTGTGCTCCGCAACGGGAGAGGCCACGGCAGTGAGAGGCCCGCGTACCGCCAAAAAAAAAAAAAAAAAAGAATATTTCATGAGCTCCTTCCCCCACATTTAGTAAGGACAAAAAACACATTTTAAGGAATTCGTTATTGAAAAAAAATTTTAAGAGCAAGCTGATGTGGGTTTCTTAGAAAAATAGCTAATCCAGGTGCGGGCATGAGCTGTGCAAGGACCCAGGACAATCTTACTATGCTAGAAAGCAAAAAAAATCTATCAAAGACTCTTGGGGTCTGGTTAAAAAAAAAAAAAAAAAAGCCACAAGAGACAATTTGAAGGGTTTCTCGTTAGCTGAAAATGGGACAGTTTGAGCATCAACAAGAATAATGATTGTGGTGGATTGGAACAAATCAAACATATAAAAATTCACAAGTTCAGGATGTTGTTACTTAAAGCTGGTTAGCTTTGGAGTTTCCTATGGCATCAACTCATTATTCTGAAACTTGGTAAATAGGAGCAAATTTATCCTGCTCTTCCTGTGCTAATTGTATTTCAAGTTAACCAAAGAATTGAAGTGAGAAAAATTCTTCTCCATAGACAATTTCCAACTAATAAGTAAAGAAGGAATGAAGAAACTATGAAAACCACAATTTTGTAACCCCTAATGAAATAATGGATTGAGGTAAGTTATGAATGACTATTAAAACCATGGAACTTTTTAGGGGATAAATCGAACTGATAATACCTGAACTTCTGATCAATCTTAACATCACTAAAATGAGACAACCAGATATTATGTGTCTCTCTTGATGTGATGTGATGGACATCACATCACCTATGCGTGTTCAGCACCATCTATGAAGTGTTCTTTGCTAAAAACAGTGAACCAGCATGTAATTAAACCTCTAGAACTAACCATCAACTTTAAATGACACCACAAGGTTGCAGTCAGCCATGTGGGAAATTCTATAGGACAAATGATTTCTTTAAGAAATAAACATCAATTTAGAAAGTGAGTGGGGGTGAACGTTTATATATTAAAAGAGGCTTAAGAGATATATCAACCAAATTTAACATGTGGACATTGTTTCATCCTGATTTAAACGAACTACAAAAAGCGATTTTTAGATAATTGGAGAAAAATGAACAAGAACTGGGTATTGATCTTAACAAATTGTCGTCAACTTTGTTAGAGGTGATCATGGTATTGTGTTTTAAAAAGTTCTTACTTGTTAGAGGTAGATATCAAAAGTGTTGCAGGTGAAATGATACAATGTTTGGGATTTGCTTTAAAACACTCCAGAAAAATTAAAATGGGTGTGTGCGTGTGTGTGAGAGAGAGAGCGAGAGTGAGGGAGAGAGAGCGAGAGGAAGAGAGAGAGAAACAAGAATGACAAAATGTTGATAAATTTTGGAGCTGGGTATTAGGAACAGAGGAATCATTATTCTCTCTGCTTTGTTATATGTTTGAAAATGATCATGAATAAAATTAAAAGCTGAGTTTTGTTTTTAAAATGTTTTAGTATGAAATACAGCAAACATACAAAAGAGTCTTGGAACCACTTAAAGAAAAGTATTGAAATATATTTTTATATATCCACAACCCAGTGCAAAACATGGAACATTACCATCTCTACAAGTCCCCTTCCAACCCTCCGTGAACATCTCTCTTCTCCCTCAGAGATAAGCCACTATTCTGAATTTTATGTTATAATCCCTTTGTTTTTCCTTATAGTTTTAAAACAATTACTCATGTAACTATTCTTACACAACATACTGTTAAGATATTTTTTTTCTGTTTTTCAACTTCGTGCAAATGGAATCATGCTTTATGTTGACTTGCTTCTTGCAACATCAATTTTCAAATGATCCGTGTTGCTGCTTTTACCTATAGTTTATTCATTTTCACTGCTGCAAAATGTTCCATTGTAGGCATATACCACAGCCTTTTTATCCATTCTACACTTGATAGACATTTAAGTTATTTTCTGTATATTATGAACACTCCTGTACATTTCTCTTGTACACAGATAGACGGAATTCTCTGAGGTAGGTGCCTACAATTACTGTGCCATAGCATACATGCAAATAAATTGGGGAATAGCAAATTGTTTTCTAAAGTGGTGAATGTACCAATTTATATTTCCTCCAGTAAGCAGTGTTTTTGAGATTTTCCCCTTTTCTACATCTTCACCTACTCTTAATATTTTCAGAGTTCTTAATTTTTGCCAAGGTGGTGAGTGTGAAATGGTATCTTATTAGTATTTTAATTTACATTTCCTTTATTACTAATGAGTATGAGTATCTCTTCATATGTTACAGGGACATTTGTGTTTCCTCCTCTCTGAAATACACATGTTTAATCTTTTACTCATGTTTTAACATGTTGTTTTTCTTTTTAAAATTGATTTCAGGGAGTTCTTTATATATTCTATTAGCCTTTTGTAGTTATATGGATTACAAATAACTATTTTGTGGCTTTTTTTTTTTCTTTTTTTTTTATATCCTTTGATGAATCAGTGTTCTGAATTTTAATAGAGTCAAATTGATCAACCTTGTACTCTTGGTCACCTTATTAAAGAAATCTTTCCC